ACGGGGATTGGGCAAAAATCATTATAAAAACTGTGGACATCTGTATTTCGAGAGCGCGCGCTGGGGGTATTCCAGAAAGCCTGGGGGCTCATTAAAACTTTTGTATCCTTATCTTATCTCCTACCTAATTTGGCTTGGAGTCTTTTTTTCCCCACAGCCATTTAGGCAACAATATAAAGAAGAGGGGTAGGTGTAGACACCATGGCACATATTTGCCCAGTATAATCGGCATCAATAACTCCTATATGTACCATGATCCCCTGAATAGTAGCGCTTGACCTACCAATTAATAAGGCACTTAAACCTCTACCAATGGGTCCCCAAGCATCCAAAGGAATTTTATGGACCCCCAAAGTGAAAATAGTTACTGCCTCAGCAGTGGATACATCCATCCTGGCTACTCCCCTTGTTTTTCCTGACAACCGGTTGCATAAACCTGTGGTTGCCAGAAGCGTTGGGCAGTTTGGTCAAGTGGGGCAGGTATTTGTGTCAGAGCGTGCCTTTTTGCACTCTTTTTCCACTTTCCAGACAATGGACGCCCTTCAATATGATATTTTGAGCGACGAACATTTGCCAGATGCCCCTCTTTCCCACATTTAGTGCATGTGATCAATGGTTGCTGTGTGTATTTTTTCTTGACCTCTGGGAGCAGTCAACTTTGAGATGCCCTTTCTGTCCACAGGAAAAACATCTATGCTCTTTTGAAGAAACCTCAGCCATAGCATTAGCCAAAGCAGTCATTTGGTGATCTACAGATCCTACATTAGAACATGCTTGAATCATGTCATCAAGCAAAGGATCACCAGGCAGAGAATCGATGATTTTCCTACAATCTGCATTAGCATTGTCTCTGGCTAATTGCTCGACTAGGGATTCATTCAAATTAACATTAAAAACTTGTTTTTCAACCTCGACCAACAACTTTTCAACAAATGGCAAAAATTGTTCCCCATTATCCTGCCTAATTGAGGTATACTTAGCTTTAGGAACTAAGAGTTCGGCGGCACGTAAAATAACTTCCATGCCGACGCTTGTTCTAATACTAGGGAATACCATTGTGCCTGATGCTGTGGGTTGGAAAATTGTCCTGTGCCAGTGAGGACATCACTTCCATTTCCATATCTGGGGTCATCTTGGGGTCATTGTAAATTTCTCATCCCTTGGACATTAGCTCTTTTAGTCCAAGTGGACTGGAAAATGGAAAATTGGACCGGGGGAAAAATAATTTGTGTGATTACCTGAATGCCATATGGAGTTAATTCATCCATAGTTAGCAATCTTAGCATTTGTATGGTTGCTGGGGAATTGGGACCATATTGCACTGCACATCTCTGCAGCTCCTGAACCACCTTCCAGGAAAATGGGCGATATTCATCAGACTGTCTGGCAGCAGAATCTCCCCTCACTACCAGAAAAACCATGGGTGCATCACTGGAGACAGTCCCCCCTGTTGGGAAGGATTCTCTAATGGGGTATCAATTACTTCTGCTAACTCCCAATTCTCATTCTCCAGTACCTGGACCTTTATTTTCTGCCAAAAGGCTATGGGATTACGAGGTTTTACAATAACCTCAGCAGGAGGCAATCTCCATTCCCGAGGATACTTGCAATGAACCTTACTGCCTTGCACCTCTTTTGGTTTTACTTGAGGTGGGACACTTTCTTCAGATGACTCTACCTCACTCTCATCCGACTCACTGTCAGATTCTGATGGCAGAGGCATAGAGGGTAGATGTGTTTTGTCACTTTTTGTTTTGTTATCTTTAATCTGTTTGACCTTTACAGAGGAGGACTTCGCTAATTCCTTCGGTGTTTTATAAGGTCTGTCTTTATTTATGGGAAGGCAGGGCCTAAACGGTTCATCCGAATCATTGCAAAATATCCCCTTTTTAACAGAATAAGACTTCTTTACCTTCAAAGGCTTTGTCTCCCCCTCCTTAGAAGGGGGAGGAGGCAAAGTCAAGGGTACTCTGCTCTCAGGAGGATTAGGCGGAGTAGCAGGCTCAAGAGAAGAAGTAGAGGGAGCTGCATGAGAAGTAGAAGGAGTTACAAGAAGAGGAGAAGGAGGTTCAGGAGGAGTAGTAGGAGTTACAGCAACTGGACTAATTGAAACGTCCCCAGACAAAGGAATAGGAATATGGACTATTTCTGGTACTTTTGACTTCTTGAAGTCTTTCAGTCTTTCAAAAAGCAGGCTCCAGGTAGTTAATAACTCCATGACTCCCTTGTCACCATGTGTGGAACTTTCGGACAGATGTTTGCCCAATTCATCCCACATAGATACAGTGAAAGCAACTTCAGAAGTTACCTGGTATCCCTGGTTTCTGCTCCATTTTAGCATTTTTTGCAGGAGTAGGGTATCTAACTTGATTCCACGCTCTTGCAAGATGAGTGTCCACATTTGTATGATAGCCTCATCTTCCTTGCTAAGAGTGGAACCCATTTCTCTTGGTGACTTCGCCTTAAAACAGGTGTCTAATTATGGGACTGGCCCCCTTTGTGACTTTAACGCCTCTCTCAAATGCTACATCTAGAGATCCACCCCCAGGCAGCAATTGACAGCTGCCTCCCTGTCCTCACAGGGATGTAAAAATCCTTATTAGATTGCTTTAGGAGTTACTTACTTGAGTTACAAGCAGAGCAACGAAAAAAGCAACAAAAAAGTGAAGCTGAACAGTAACTGGAATGTTGGCTTCAGCAACTGAGAGCTGAAAAGTGGTGGTTGCTAGGAAATGGAAGATTTCACAACAGTCCGGGGCGAAGAGCAGCGGTAGCTGACAGTTGCGATGAAATGAACCGGGGCAGCATCAAACGGCAGAGGTGGTGGTCTCAGAGCCTAGGTGAGAGCAGCAGCAGCAAGTCTGCCTGCCAAGCAACTGCAGGAGTGACAGAGTCAGGGCCACTCGGAACCGACGGCACTACCGAGTCAGAGGACATTCAGGGGTGTCTTAGCTCATGCAGGGCACGGCCAGGGGTGTCCGGCAAAATTGGAGGGACGCAAACTGGGCACGGGCTGGGCAGGATTGGTGGAGTGCTGTGCAAAGTTACAATTTCAAGAACGGGGGCTGTGCAGTTTGTGTAAATCAGCATGCAGTTTGGTTACTAAACCACACAGTTTGCGCAGCAGCGGCAAAGCAGAATATGATGGTTTGGACCTGGCTCCCTAACAAATGCTCAAACCCACAGTAACAGCCCCCCCTTCCCCCTCCCTTCTTCCCCCAAGGGCAAAGGAAAAAAACTATGCAAATTGAAGAACCCGAAATCAAACTAGTTATATAAAAAATGTATATTTTATGTATATTACAGTTATATACAGTTAAGATGCTATGTATACAGCAAAAGGGAATCCAAACACCCCCCGAAGGGATAGGGAAAGGGGAAAAAAGGGACAAAAAGGGACACCAAACAGGTATATGCAATCAAACTCAAGAACAATACTAATAACTAACAAAACAGATCTCACCACATCCCTTAGAAAAAGCAGGATTGGCAGACGTGACCAGCACTCTCCAAGCCTCCACGTGTAAGGTCAGCGGTCGCTGCAGGCCTCAGCCTTACATAAGTGAGACCAATGCAGGGACACACTGTTCCTGAACCTCGCCGGAAGAGAAGAGAGTGAAGGCCTCTCCTCCCTTCTTATTTATACCCCGATTTACGTAAAAATTGTATGGAATACTGGGAACACTGCTCCTTCCTTGGTTAGAAACTGGTCACCAAGGAAGGCCTAGATTAAAACTACCACACAGAGCAACTTAATGAACACTCCAGAGTGGGGCGAGAAAACTGGCAGCAAAGTGGAGCCAAGCTAAACAGGACAGGGGTTGGACGTACTGCCCGTGGGGTTACGTGCGCGTGCTCAATAACTTACGCACAGCAAAGGTGATGAATGCAACAGCAAAAAAACCTTAGCAGCAGTAAAAAGGAAAGTGCAGTTTCTCGAGCCGAGAAGCGGTGAAAAGGATCTGAGGGGCCAGCGGACCCCTGGTCCTCCAGGTGGCAGCTTCCCGGGAAATCCTGACGGTGCACACTCCATTCGATTCTTCATTCGCTTCAAAATCATCTTGTCTCTTTTCCTTCGCAGTCACGTCACCAGGTCACCAGATGTTGCGGTTGGGGTGGAACACGACACGGCTTCAGACAGTAAGGAACCAGGAACAGGAACCTTTATTACAGCAGTACAGCTACATTTATACAGTTTTAGGTGACACATGTACACACACAATTGGTTTATTAGAAACATAAATAACCCACAATTGGAAATACGTCCAAGTATGTCTGAAAGCAATGAATCAGCATTCTTGACAGGAAATCCATTCTGTGTCACATTCCTTTCTGTCTGTAGCTGACATCTTGCCAGGTGTAGATGTTCCATCTTCGATGTCTCAGCTTACTCTGAGACCCCAGAACCAACTGGGCTCTCCCATATTGGACAAAAAAGGCACTGCTGGGTCCTTTATTATGTTTAAATACTCAGAGAACACAATTCATCATTTTTACATGTCTGGGTGAAATTCAAAAGGTGGACACTAAATTAGAAGTCAGGTGCCTAAGAATATTTAATTGCACAGAAAATTATTGCAAGAACAACCAGATGACCTGGCCCAAAAACCTAAGAGGGCACCCTGGGACATTAGTGAGTTCCATTCAGCATGCTGCATAGCAGAAAACAGGCAGTTTGATGCTCCTGAAAAGCATCCAGTCATTAAATTCCTCAGGGCGTTCTTGAGCTCCTGCTTCCTCAGGCTGTAGATGAGGGGTTTCAGTGCTGGAGGCACCATTGAGCACAGAACTGACAGGGCCAGACCCAGGGATGGGGGAAAAAAGGAGGGGGGCTTCAGGTAGGCAAATGTGACAGTGTTGAGGAACAGGGAGACCACGACCAGGTGAGGGAGGCATGTGGAAAAGGCTTTGTGCTGTCCCTGAAGATATGCACATAGGAGAAAACAAAACAATCAAGTGCTAAAGAGACAGAAAACAAAGAGAAACCCAATTTCCCTGAGGTAACCTGAGTGTGAGCAGGAGAGCTTGAGGATGTGTGGGATTTCACAGAAGAACTGCCCTAGGGCATTGCCCTGGCACAGGGGCAGGGAAGATGTATTGGTTGTGTGCAGCAGAGCATTGAGAAACTCAGTGGCCCAGGCAGCTGTTGCCATGTGGACACAAACTCTGCTGCCCAGGAGGGTCCTGTAGTGCAGGGGTTCGCAGATGGCAACATAGCAGTCGTAGCACATGATGATGAGGAGGAAAAACTCTGTTGACATGAAGAAAAAGAAAAAGAAAGAAAAAGACCTTTGCAGCACATCCCATGTAGGAGATGTCCCTGGTGTCCCAGAAGGAGTTGTGCATGGCTTTGGGGACAGTGGTACAGATGCAACCCAGGTATGTAAGGGAGAGTTGGAGCAGGAAGAAGTCCCTGGGGGTGTGCAGGTGGTGGTTGCAGGCTACGGCACTGAGGATGAGACCGTTGCCCAGGAGGGCAGGCAGGGAGATGCCCAGGAAGAGTCAGAAGTGCAGGAACTGCAGCTCCCGCCTGTCTGTGAATGCCAGGAGGAGGAACTGGGCCATGGAGCGGCTGTTGGACATTTGCTCCTTCCTCAGAGTGTTTTGATCTGTTGAGGAGGAGAAGTCAATGCTGAGTTAGACCAGGCTTCTGCAGCCAAACATTTCACGTCTCACAACCACCCCACTCTCAGAGTCTGTCTCCTCAGTCAGACCTCCCTGCTGCTCCCTCCCCTGAACTCTGGCTTTTGTTGGCTGAGGGGACCATTGGAAGCTAACTCTGTGATGGGCTCCCAAGGACTCCTTCTTGCTCTGCTGGGAGAGGGAACTTGGAATGCAGGATGATCTCAAATTAAATGTGTTCGTGATAAAACAAAGAGCTTCTCAGCTTTGCTGTTTGCACTTTGCCCAAATGAAGGACTGAGCTGAGGGAATTCTTTATATTTGTTCCCACAGTTGCATCTGCCACAGTTAGGAGTGGTTGTGGATGTTTGAAATCCCTGACATTTCTATTGCACTGCAGGTCAAGTCTTGTGGATTCTGCGGGGCACAGGGGTGGTCCCTCAGTGCAGAGAGAAGAGCTGCTCCGCCCATCAGTGCTGTGCTCAACTGTCCTGTGCTGGCAGCTTGGAGGTGGGTGAGCATCACACTCAGCTGTTCCCCTACAGAGAAACTGCACAGATCTCCAGGAATCCATGTCCAAAGAACAGATTGACACACTCCTCACCTTTTCATCTCTACCCTCCCAGACTGAGACACAAAATGCTCGTTGCAGCTGCCCAGAGCATTTCCATGGATTTAGCACTGAGGAGTTTTCTCCATGGGGATCCTGTGCAGCTCAGAGATACTATGGCAGAACTGTGCCCTCCTGGAGGGCACCTGCAACCCTGCAGGACACCCAGAGAAACAGCTGAAGATCCTGAAGTGCCCTGAAGGGCACTTGGGTACTTTGCTCCCACAGACAAATCCCCACAGAAGCACCCAAAGGGTTTGTATCTGGACAGGAATCTTCCCCCTCCCCCCCGAAACCCCACACAAGCTCAGAAAACCCAAGGGTGAGAACAAGGACAGCCCAGGTAGCAGGGGATGGCAGGGAAATGCCACAGTGCTGCTGCAAAGGGAGGAGGGACACCCAGAGACAGATGGAAATCAGGGTCTTGTCCTTGCCTGGGCTCTGGCTGCTGCAGGGCAATGCACAGCCCAGCCCCCATGGGCCTGAGGGTAGAGGCTCTGCTTGGACTGGGAAAGGAGCCCAGGGAGGAGCTGCTCAGGGAAGGTGTCTGTGTCACAGAGACAGTAGGGAGGGGCTCACATCCCCCTGCCCAGCATTTCTGGCAGCAACTCCCTCTCCATCCCTGTCTGTCTCTGTGTGAGGAGCTGTTCCTGCCAGCAACCCCTCCCTGTGCCCAGTTCAACTCCCTGCCAGTGCTCCCAGAGCCCATCCCCAACCCAGTGCCCAGGGGCAGCTCTGCCTGGGCAGGGACTGCAGAGCAGATCCCAGACATTCTGCACTGGCTGGGAAGGGGGAGGTGTTCTTAGTGGATGTACTTCCTGAGAAGGGCCCCTGGAAATGGCAGGAGGTCGAGCTGAAGCTGTGAGGAACCAGAACCCTTCAGCTGAAGCCCTGCCCTGCCATGAGGGGTCACTCCTTCCACACACCCCTTTTCCCTGCAGGGCTGTGGGAGCTCCTTGGCCGGGTTGAGAGCTGCCCCTGGCAGGCAGCAGAGTCCCTGCCCCAGTACACAGAGCCCTGGGGGGCAGGACCCTGCTTGGCACCACAACCGTGGGCACCCCTGGATGCACCCCCACCTTCCCACCCCACAGCAAGCTTTGGCAGAGGGAACCTTCTTGCCCTGTGCCTTTGATGGGGCAACAGCAAGTCCTGCTCTGGAGCAGCTTCTCCTGCTGCACCCCAACAAATCCAGCAGAGCCATCCTGACAGGTCCTGTCAGGGCTGGTATTTGGCAGGTGGAAGAGGCACTTGCAGGAACTCACCTGCACTGCTCTGCAACCAGAGCCTTACCATGGCAAAGGGCTGGCAAGATTTCTCCCCTGAGGAACTCTACTCTGTCCTCACACCCCAGGATACCTTTCACCTCTTCACTTCTGTCTGCCCTTGCTGCCTGCAGCTCCTGCCCTGCTCTGCCATAGGGCCACTTCCTCTGCACTGGAGGGACTGTGAGAGTCCTTCTGAAAGATCCTAGAAGCTGTGGGATGTGCCAGCTTTAGGAGATCCCTCCAGGAAGGGAAGTTTAAGTTTCCAACAGCCAGAGAATTCTTCATTCAAATCCTGTGAAGATTTCTCCCATAGTGAGAGCTCAGTCCCCTCCCAGCCCAGGCTGCCTCTCCTCTGTCTCCCTTCTCTCCTGTGCCCTCGGTGCTGCAGGTAGTGCCCTCAGCCCTTCTGGGTTGTGCAGAGGAGCTGCTCCTGGGCAGAACTGACTCTTTGAAGCTGTTCTTGGTTGCCAGGAGCCCAGCACAACTCAGCAGCACAGCAACAGCCCCAGGCATTTCATCACCCTTGGAGAGTTTGGTGTTGTTTACATGGGACTCAGTCCCTGAGAGTATGAAAAAATATTCTCAAGAAGTCAAAATGACATTGAAACTGCAAAGTTTCTTGTAGTGCTAATGGGTCCCACTGAGGGACACAACTGAGAACTGAGAACATGTCCCCAGGTTCCAGTTAGATCAGGAAACTGCAGACAGTGATGACAAGGATGGGTAAGCAAGGGAAAGGTGACTCTGGTGCTGAGTAAAACTGGATGTGTTTAATTAATGCAAAGGGTCAATCCCTGACCCCAGCCCCTGGGAAGGCAGATCCTGTCCCTGTCTCATTCCTCAGGGCTTTTCCTGAGGCACTAAGATGTGTGATGTGCAATGCCAAGGGCAGGACAATGGGATGGCACCTCCCAGGCTGCTGAGCAGGGACAAGGAGACCATGAAACCCCAGGGTTGCAAGGGGCACTTGTCTCCTCCTGGCATCAGTGGCACAGAAAGCAACCATAGCCAAAGACCTGCAGAAGGTGTCTCTGTCAGCGCCTTTCAACTTCTGCACGTCTCTCTCCCCTCCAACCCAGGCTGTTTTACGGTGTCCATGTGTAGTAGTTTTAAGACTAGACCTTCCTTGGTGACCAGGTTGTAACCAAGGAACCAAGGCCATGTTCCCAGTATTCCATACGATTTTTACGTAAGCAAGAGTATAAATAAGAAGAGAGAGGTAACTCTCGCTCTCTTTCTTCCGGTGGACTGAAGGCGAAGGTAGCTTTGCTGTCGCTCTGCCTGGGCGAGGGAGTGAGGCCTAGCACATCTGGTTGGCCTTGAGAGGCAGAGAGTGCCGGCAATTGTGTGGTGTGGCTCACTATCTCTGGAGGGAAGTATTTGCGTTATATTCCTTTTTATTCCTTTTTCCTTTTCCCTTTCCCTTCCCTTTTCCCCTTTGTGGGGTTCCCTGTATATAATTTTCTTTATATATATATATATATAAATCTTCCACTTAAAATTCAGTTCGGTTTGGGTTCTTTTGATTTTCTTTTTCGTGATCTTTTCGATCAATTGCACGAGAGTGAGAGGGAGGGGGAAGATTTTGCCCCTGAGGTCCGGGCACTTGGCTGGGAGCCAAGTCCAACCTGGGACACCATGCCCTGCCCCTTTCCCTGCAGGTTGTCATCATCCCCGTAGATTGCCCCACCTCACTGACCCCTTCTTGCACTGACATCTCTCCATCCTCCCTGGTTCTTCCTGCACACACAAAACCTTGGGCTCATCCAGACTCCTCCTGGGTGTCGTGTTGCAACACATTTTCCATGGAGTGAAATTCCTTTTTCTTCATGTCCACTCTGAACCTCCCCAGTTGCACTTGGCATTAATTCTTTCTTTCTCCTGCTGTTTTCTGCTATGACAAAAGGATCCACCATCTCTAAATCCTCCCTTCAAGCCCTCTGAGGGCTGTCCTGTACTGTCCTCAGTCTCCACACCATTGGAGGCCACAGTTCCTTAGCCCCTTTATAGTGGTCATGTGCTTGAGACCTTGAAAGCCCATCTGGGGAGATCTCTGGGCACTCACTAATGTTTTTGCAGATGAAAATGTCGTGCTCATAGTCTATGGAAATCACAGGGATACTTTTTACCAAGGCCTTTAGTGGCAAGAACATGGGGCAGTGGCTTTGAACTGAAAGAGAAGAGTTTTCTATTGGATAATAGGAGGAAAGATTTAACAATAAGGGTGGTAAGAACTGGAACAGGTTTCCAGAGAAGTGTATGTCCCATCCCTGCATTTGTCCAAGGACAGGGACTATGAGTAACCTGAATTAGTAAAAGATGTCACTGTCCATGTCCAGGGACTTGGACCAGATGACCTTTTAGCTCCCTTCCAAGCCAAATCATTTTATGATTCTTTTGAGTCTGAAGTCCCAAACTCCTTCTCCAAAAAATTTCCATTTTGAGGACATGAATTTGGAGAAATGTTTTTGGAGAAACCCTTCTAAACCCAAAAGGCAACAAATTAATTCAAATGAATTTCCAAGGTATCTGTATGAAACTTTAGGCAAGTGGGTCAATAGCAGAACCTCAGGGTGACCTTGCAGCTGAGGATGGGGGATTTGGCCTCGGGGTCTGATACTCATGATGGGCAGCCAGAAAGGGTATTTGGGGACTGGGCAAGACTTGTCATGGGATGTCTAGGAAAGAACCAAAGCAAGGGCAGGATCACAGTGGTTTCTGGGAAACAAACATGAGAAAACAGAGAGAAAAAAGTATGAAAAAGCTGGTCATGTTAAACAGGAGGCTCATCAAGACGCATCCCTGGCTGTGCCCTGCAAGTGATCCCCACAGCCTGTCCCATTTTCTTAATAACTCCATTGCCAAGAAGTTTCTGTGGGGAGGGACCTCTCTGCTCCTGGCACAGATTGTGGTTTAAGTTCCAACCACTGCAGCAGGAGCCACAAATAGTCAGATCTTGCGTTCTTTGGTGGACCAGACTCTATCCAGACTGAGGGCTGGGGGTGAAGAAGCACAAAACAGTGAAGAAAATGCAAAACCAAACACATAATGTACCCTGACTTTGTCCCTGAGTGGGGGATGAGAAT